AGCCTAACCCACAGAAAATGTCGAAGTAAACCCAATATATGAATACTTCCTCCTCTTTTAGAGAAGAATACATATGGCCGTTCTGAACTCTATCGGGATCAAATCTTCTCACAAACCATTTACCTTTATAACAAAAAAATTTGATTGGCTGTTTATAGTAGAGCCAATCTGACTAGTGTGACATACATACATCTCTCAATCACTCACTCATCCATTGACCCGTCCATAACATACCCGACGCGCCGACTAAGAGGTATTTTTGTTTACAAAAAAATAACTAAAAAATGGTTTCCTTCATGGAAACTAATATTTCTGTTACAAAATTTCACTAACTAGAACTTAAGAAAAAAAAGGTTGAAAAGTTATAGAGAAACAAAATATTATGTCAAACCACTCTGCTGTTTGAATTTGATGATGAAACAAACCATTTTTCCTGTTATACGAGCAAACGCATCTCCAAAGCAGAACATCAGTTGAGAAAATCATCTGGAAGTTGCTGTCACTATTTTTTTCTGAGACGGGTAGGAGGAGGAAGCACCCGGCAAAGAAAAGGCCTTTCTCTACAATTCCCCACTTCCCCTACCCTCTTGCTAAGAAAGCCCTGATACTCAGGTTTATAACAGAAGTATCGGGTTACTGTCACCTCTAATCTATAAATGCAAGTTAGAGTTAAATTCTTTGTCCTCAACGAAAACGCTGCAAAACATTAACATTTACCTTTGGATTCCTGCCAAGTCACCCAGCCGTGACATGAGCTCTACGCCACGTAAGATTACTCAATACAAATGAGCGATCTGAATAAACGACATGCGAAGTGACACTCGCCTCGAATATCGAGTTTTACCGGTACTTCAGAATTACTAACGATACCTTCCGAGTTGTTTTTATCGCAAAATGCATCTTCTTTGAAATCGTTTTCAATTTGTTCTATGTTAGAATCTCCGCCATTTCGAAGAGAGTTTACTGGATCGCGGTGTGTTTATTCAACCCCCAGCAAACTTTCAGCAATCCTTTGCGAGCCTTGTTCTCAAAAATCGAGATTTTTTCTGCTACGGCGAAATTTTCCTCTCTATACGCGGGGACCTCTAGGGTGCCTCCTCGGGTTTTGGCCGTCTGGGCCAAAACCCAGCGGGGACAAGTAATTTACGGTGTCCCCAGTTAGCAGAACAGTGCTGAATACATTTGACACTGAAATGAAATTATTTATTTATTTATTTATTTATTTAATTTATTTATGATTTATTTCATTCTATGGGGTGTTAGTTTTCTTTCTCCCCTCCCCGCTCCTCCCCAACTCTCAGCCCTTTCTAATCCACGGTGGCTGAGCCATCAGTGCGAGAGGCAGTCAAAACCTAGCTGTCCTTCCGAAACGACACAATGATAGCCTTTTTCTTCGCAGCTAACAAAAATGAAGATGATACTTAAGTTGCTTTGGCCTCTTGAAACATTGAACTCGAAAATTCTGGGTTTTATCTGACGAGTAACAAAATAACACAACGAGCCTGTGGCCAACCTCGGGCGACCCAGTTTTGGCTCCAAATTAAACGCTTGGAGACGCATATTGTTTCAAAATTGTCACTTTTTACAATCTGATAAAGCTTTTGGAATTATAAATCCCTTTTCGTGAACATTCAGTGCCATCTTCAGTGAGGAACGTTGCCCGACTTCAAATTTCAGGCGCACCAGCCGTATGCAAGGAATATAATAATGCTCACTGAGTTTCTGGCCGAAGTAAATTGTGCTTTTACGCGAAAACCTCGTATTTTCCAAGTCTGTTGTCTTTCAAACGCAACACTAGCTGTCTTATTGTCTATTCTCAAGTGATTTCCAGGATTTGGTATAATTCTGACAACGATTTCCA